ATATGAAGGGACTCCTAAACGAATGATAAAAATATATTGAACTGACAAATACTGGCGATAAGTCACGTGATTGTCGCGCGTCAGTTCCATATGTTTTTAAATTGTTTTATTTAATAACTTCGGAGCGAATGCAATTTATCTAGCCTTATACTCCTGTGTCACTCTTCATATGCTCCCCTTCTGTAGACGTATGAGTCATGTACGTCGACCTCCAGCTCTGCTGTAGACGCTTTGACTCTTTTTGTTCATTTTACGGAATATACTTTTAAATTATTGTCTTGCTTGTTTATTATTGCAAAATTGTTTTCTCCCTATTATTAAATATTGATGCACTTCATATTATATGTAAATTAATTCATCATGATCACAATTATATGTAACAATTTAATAGATGTGATCCTATTAAAATAATGACTAGTTGTGTATTTGCGAAAAACTTATCCTGTCATAAAAACTTAAGCTTCCTTAAATTTTAATACTCTTTTATAATATCACAATTTTTGATTTACAAATTGTGATGATGTTTTTATTAAACTATTAACAAATCTGTAACACTATTCCCCTCAGGGAAGCACATGAATCAAATGACACCTAGCGCTTCAAAATGACGCAATACGTTTAGGCTACAATCTACTAACATTAGCAAACACATTTTTCACCTTATCATCAGTCAGGAAAACAAAATTCGATGACAATATAACTACAGAAGTATACTCAAACAACCATGTTCCACCATTTAGTGTAAATCTTTTAATACATCTTGTAAGCATTGTCAAATTCTTTAAAATATCCTAAAGATGGGTTTTAATTTGCTATGCTTGGAAACAAATAAGAAAAACTACTTTATCAGTATTCTGCAGATACCTTCTAATAAACATCCATCTATTTAAACATTCTCATTTATAATATTATTAAGACTAGCCGCCCGCGACTCCGTCTCCGTAGAATTAAAAAACTTAATAAGTAGCCTATGTATTCTTTCAGACGTTCTACTTCTATGCCAAATTTTAGCGTGATCCGTTGAGCCGTTTTAGAGATACCTTCACACAAACATCCATCCACCCATCCGTCCATCTAATCATTCGCAATTATAATACTGAGATACGTAACGAGTTTTTGTTGTAGCGCCATCTGTTGCCTGAATAAGAAATTGAAACTAGCGTTCGGAATTGAACAGATTATTTTTTTATTATGATACTGGGAGTCGCCCTCGATTTCGTCAGCGCAGAATCCTTACTGTCTCGCTTTAACGCCAAAACCACTGAACTGATTTAAATGAAATTTGGTAAACAGATAGTCTAGAGCCTGGGAAAGGATATAGGCTACTTTTTAATGCGAAAAAAGAAGTAAGTGGAGATGGAAATTTGTATGGAAGTATAGTCATTTTAACAATTAGGAGGAATATGTAAGGCAAATCATACAGAGCCAACTACTTACCAATTACTTACCGCGGAATTCCGTTCCCGTGACACTTGTATTAATACATACCATGATCTCTGTTTTTTCAAACAAAATAAAAAGGATAACAATATGCTAAAACAAAAAAATTTCTACACATTTAATGTGTCGATAATAAAAATCCACTGGTACAGTGACTATCAGTTTATTTCTTTCAAATACACCAAATAACAAAACACAACACTGGAGATAAATAAAACATAATTTACAGCCAGTTATTTATCACATACAAATCTGTATCACTGTTTATGATGTATGTATGAGTCACCCAGTCACTTAAAATAAAAATATTCAACATGCAAATAAACTGTAAAAAATAAATAATGCAACAAACTTATCTGGGCCGGTGAAAGAGGTGCTGCTTTTTAGGTTATTTCTACAACAAATTATGTAAAATCTAGAGGTGAGACAGCTACTGTATAAAGATTTTGTAACATTTCAACATCTACAGGGGGCACTAATAGCTACAATAATTTTTCATCATGCCCAACGGGTCAAATAAGTTTGTTCCTTTGTACATCCAATTTCATTTTGACTTATTTAAGAGATTCAAATAAAATGGTAAAAGGACATCTTAATTTCTTGAAAAGACTTTCATCCATATCACCAGCAACAGTAGCGTTGATATTTTCTCATGAGCTTATGGTACTTAGCCTTTGATTTTTAGTTTCTGTTGTCCTGTCTGCTAATTCAAATGTTAATATCTTTGGCTTGAACACACTTTAAAGGTTATACTCTATGTTACATCACTCAAGTAGACATGTGTAAATTAACTCGGAACCAGTTCAAAAGTTCAGATCACATACACTTGAACCGTTGAACTGCAGCTCTACAACTAACTTGCCAGATCAAGGCTCATCGCAATGTACAGCTTCGAGTTGCCTGCTCTCTTGTGGGTCTCAGATCAAAACACAAATCATAAATTGATGTAGGTACAAAGTGAACTGAGCTGCGAGCCAGTACTCACTGATAAGCTTCACATATGTAAACTGTGAGCTAATCCGGAGTTCATCAATTATGGTTGAGATACCCATAACTACGGCTAAGTAAGCAAGTTAATGTGTATCAATGTATGAATGTCCTGCTGTAAGCGACCATCATTTTTACATGTCTATGCTCTAATTTGTTCCTTTGCACCATTGTCTCCAAGTTTAACATTCAGGTTCAAAAATATTCTAAGCAGTTGTATAATACTTCCAGATTGTTCTATTTGCACTTTACTTTTTAGCTTTCAAAATATTTAACAACTGAGAGGTATTCTAGTATCAGCGGGAACATCAAATAGAATATTAGGACATGATTACTCTAATTACTGCTTGGAACAAGGCCTGGGGATAGGAAATTCTTTTGGATTGTAAAAGATCTTGATAGCCATGTTTAAAGTATTTATCTCTCACGATTAGCCAAGCGATTGTGAATTATTTCAATTGATATGTAAAAGTAAAACAGCAATTTATACAACATACTACGCCTTGGCGGTATCCGAGGAATAACATAAGATATTCCTGCCAGTGGAGTGGGTTTTGGAGAGTAAGACATAATTCTTTTTCTTTTCTTTTCAACCAGTTACTTTTATAAAATCAGCCAGTAGCTTTTTCACATACAGCAATAGATTTATGAGCATATGAAATGGACTTTTATCTCAGTATCAATAATTGTAGGATCTTCAATTTTCTTTGGTAAAGAACTTCTTGGACTATTTGTCTTCCAGATCTGAAACGAAATGAAAATTGTAAGATTTACTAGTTAAATCAAGCTATGAACACCAAAAACATAAATCCTAATTAAATATGCTACATCGCAATTGATGTGAATCCATTTTCATTCGGTTCGATTTTAAGATATTAGTTAACAACAACCTGTAGCAGCTCAAATGTTTACTAACGTAATTAATCTAATAAGTACAAAATTAAAGCACCTTCAGACTAATCGTTTAGATTAGAAAATAACGACGCACAAACTATGTAAGTAATCACTAATCCAGGAAGAACTAGGCCCAACCAAGGAGTGCAACTGCAATGCAAACTGCAATCGATCGTTTCGTTTCGTCGTCGATCGTTTCGGCTCACTGACATTTAAAAATGGACTGGCTATAAGGCGTAGTATTTTGAGCGCATTTGATTTACGCCATTTTGGCGCTGATGGCAGCGTTTTGTAGCGGTGGTGTAGAATCGAACTAATCATATAAAGAGAATCGTAGGATAACACGTGCGTTATACCGATACAAAATGAAATCTGTGATTTCAAAGCAGTCGCCTATCCATTTATAGAAATCAGTGTTTTAGCTGCTGTGGTTTTCGCTACCGAGCACATATTCAACAAAATATATTGTCATCTCTCTCAATCTCTTAGTAAAACGCGAATAATCGATTCGTTTCACTATGGTTTTGCGATGATATTAAAGCCAGTCACACACCTTAGATTTTTGCTAGGGCAAAATTGAACAGAGGAATAGATGAGATTTTCAGTTGTAATATCTTTTGCTGATATTTCTTTCGCTGTTTTTGCTGTGGAAATTAATAATTTCGCATTATATGTATTAAAAATAGAAAAATAAAATTTTCAAAACACGTAAACAATATTGTTGTTAAACAGGTGTTTTGATAGTGAAAACAAACTTTAACAATGACATTTTGATTAAATTAACAATGGTGCAGTTTGAACTGATACAACTTTTTGGTGATTGGATCACCGGTAAAACTATACAGTTGTCAGTATTGCTTACTAACAACGTTTTAAGTAAACAGTCGAATTATAAGGAGTTAAAAAAGTGCTCTTAAAATTAAATGTGTATTGCTGGCTTTAACGGTGCGCATTCTTGCCAATTCAGAAAAACGATAAGCGATAATAAAACGATATTCACTTATATACATGTTGTAATGTTTCTAAATATTGAAAAAGTTTATTCAAATGAAATAAAATAATGGTTTTATCACAGGCTGGTACATTAAAAAAAAACAAATTTTTACTACGCCATCCCCTTTATGGCTCGTTATACCTGTTAGCCTGTTATTCATCTGTTCAAGAGCATCAGGGTTGCCAAGCTAGGGCAAAAAACAATAACCAGCTACTAACAGTGACTAAGGGATTTTAATTTCAATGTTTTGATGTTCTAAGACACGAGTCCTAGAAAAGAAACCCATTTCATCCATGCAAAGACCGAAATTCTTGGTCTACGGCAGAAAACCGCCTATAGGATTTCAATAATTCACTTTTATAGTGTACGACTTTTTATACGATTCTGAAAATGTTGTGTTTTGAAACGAAAAATAAAATAGTCATTGATTGATGATTAACAATATATTGTACCGAAAATAACATATTATTATATTTTAATTTAATTATTCTCAGTGTTTCCCTTTCAGTATAATTTTTTTGTTAATGTATAAATTATAAAACAGAGTCATTTGATTAATGTTTAAAATTGAAAAGTGTTTCTTTACTTATTAAAACACATTTTTTGTATATAATGTACATCACGTCTGGATGGATATTTTAATGGCAACACCGATAAGCATATAAAACATGTTCAATCAATACCTGTTGAGTAAATACGACGCCCTCCCTTGCTCCCCTCTGCCCTCCGCCCTACAAATACAATCGACATCCAGGGACATCCAGCCCCGGCCACCCACCCCACTCTATTATTTTTTTCTTTCTTTCTGCCGCGAGCCGTCAGGAAAGCAACATTGTTGATAATCGTCAAGTTATACTGTAATTAAAAATCTAGGTACGGCGTATTGTCTCTCTTTAGTCACAATTTCTCTAAAGTACTTATTTGCGGTAAAATAAAACAGTTTAATAAAAATGTCGCAAATCAATAGACGGGCAAAGCGAGACTTCAAGGAAGTACAGCGCAATTATCAGGTAATTTAGATTGTATATTCCAGTTAAATGTATATTGTTCGTTTTAAATGGATACATTGCTTTCTTTATTTCGCGGTTTCTATTAAGAAATGACAAAAGCCAATTTAATCAAGATTTATAGGTTTTGTCTGTTCGCTTTTTGTTCTTTTGAGAATCCAACAAAATGGCGGCGTTCATGTTACAACTTACATTTGCTATATAAAACCGATCGAAGTATTTAAACATCATAAATAGGCTTTTGAAATTTGTATTTTTTATTGTCCAACGCGTTTTTTTTGTTTGGGCTGGAGCCATTTCATGCATTATTCTGTTCTACTTTTCGTATGTAAAATCTCCACTAAGGGCCGCCCTTAGTGTCCAATTAACAACTATTATTATGAAAGTATGGCTATTATCTAAAGGCATATTTACGCTTTTTGCTGGTAGTTGCCAATTTTCACCAACTACGTTTTCTCTCTTTGGGTGTGGTATTTAATTCTATTGTTTCCTTTGCGCTCTTGCTCTATGAAACACACCCCTCAAATGCATAGTATATTTTGGTAGTAGCAGTAACTACAAATTAGTAATATTAATATATAAAAAAACTATGAGGATTCTAATGTAAACTAAATTTCCACAGGAGTCGAAGGATAAATCAATATTTTTACGAAACTTGAACCCACTGTATGATCGCTTTGTGGCCAGAATCAGGGGCCCACGTCAAACCCCGTATCAAAGCGGAAAATTCATTCTACGGATTGTACTAGATGCAGATTATCCAGCATCTCCGCCTGAGGTACAGTTGTTTGTCAATTAAGATAGCTCTTTAACCTGAAGCGAGATTTTTTTGCGTGCATACTATATCTATTCTTAGCTAGCAACATATGACTATAAAAATTCCTTTATTCAGTATTCTACATAATAGACTGTGCCAGTTCTTACAATTAGTATACTTTCAATGTTTTGTTCAAATTAGCAATAAATAACCTGCACTGTATTATATCCTTTTTTTTATAACATTTATCTTTTCAAGGCATATAATTAGAAACAGCTATAGCTTTTTACATGGAGGAATACAAACACCGGGAACAGTATAACTTCTATTGAACTGAACTTTCTTGTAGCTTTGTTAGTTTTGGTGGGGATGGGATGGAAGGATTTGAAAGAAATTATATGTGTTCTATTCGATTACAGGTTAGATTCCTAACGCATGTGTGGCATCCGAACATCCACCCGTGCAAAGGCTACATCTGCTTGGATATTCTAGCTGAGAGATGGACACCGGAGTTGTCTTTGAGGACCATGCTTCTCTCCATCCAAGCGCTCATGTCTGCGCCTGAACCGGATGATCCTCTTTCATTGCCAGTCGGCCTGCAGTGCAAAAACCAACCGGAGGAATTCCGTGCGACTGCCCAATTTTGGACCTACATTTATGCCAGAGGTCGTTTCACTGTATATGAATACCAGCAGAAACTGGCAACATTTGTTAGCTTGGGTGTACAGCAGGATCTGGCATTGACATTACTGGCCAATTGCCACTGGAACTTGGAAGAGGCCATCGATACACATGCCACTGTCACTTTGATAAATTCCATTCCGGTCCAGGATTTGGAACAGTAAAGATTTAAATTCCAAACATTACCATCAGTGACTGCTGTGACATTTGTCTTTATACATGTCATCTCTTATATTGTTAATATTCTCTCTGTTTGTTTTATCCAAGGGAATGTGAAGGATGAAGTAGATGTCAAAACAAGTGTCATTGGAGACAAGCCCACAGTTGTATAGACCGACAAGGATATCTGACTCCTCTAGGCATATATGCAAGTAAATTATGATAGTCCTGTCAATGTCAAATAAATCATAAGATTCTTTTCTTACTGTAGCTGTCAATTCAAATTTTTTTTATAAATGTTTAACGACTTTTTAGGTTTTCACTTTTTCTGCCAGTAATAATGGCCATAGTCACTCTCAACATGCCAGATATCCTTGTTTCACTATATGCACAAAGAATTTTTTTTTTATTTTAGTCATCTCTCTAAATTATGAGTCCTTTTAAGAATAAAATTCAATTGTTTGGTTACCTTTAAGGTAAAGTATTAATATCAAAGGTTAAAATTATTACTTGACAAAGTTTTTAAAAAATCTCAATGTAGTAGCTTTTATTTTTAAATGTTTTTTTTTTGTGATAAGATTTATTGATGTTGTGATAAATATGACTGGCTGTAAGATAGATTCTTAAGAAAATATAAAACTTAATGTTTAAATAAGTACATATAGAATGTGTAACATGAATGTATGAATTTGAGTCACTTTATTTCACTAAATAGTACAACAGAAAAATTATTAAAAGCAAACAGAAATGCTTCAATTAGTTACATATGTTGTTTTACATACAACAGAAAAAAAGTTTTCAAATAATTAGTTAGAAACCAGTGCAAAATAACTTTGAAATATGGTTATTTTTTTCCTGCATGAAAGTTAAAATAGATGAATTTTAATGGATTGAGATAAACTATAAGAACTAGAGATATCTTAAATTACAAACATTTCGGTTGTTAACACCCGTTTGCCATTACTATTTTTAACCAACTTCAAAAAGGAAGTTATCAATTTGTCTGTATGTTTTATTATTCTATTAGTAAAGTAAGGTAAGGTAAGTACTATTCTACATATGTGTCTACTCTGGAATGTTACTCAAATAACATAATATATACGTACTTAAAATATCTCTGAAGATTGCTTAAATCTATAAAACACTGATTGTTTCCTATTATTTTTAATTAAATTTATTATACGGGTACAAGTGATTAAAAGGCTTGTGATTCATTTATAGTTATTTTAGTTTTATAATTTCACTGTCTTGTCACTGATTATTATTGTTCATCTTTAAATAAAAAGAGATAATACAATAGTCAAGGCAGTAGAATCAACGGTAAGTATCTTATGAGTGATTTTTTTAAATTTTGATATTTCTTTTGTTATGTTTTGTTTGTAAGGGCCTCTTGATACATTTTTGTGTGTGTACTATTGTTTAATGTTTTGTTAGTCGTGTTGTTAAATATTTTATTGATTTTATAAAAAAAAGAAGACTACACTCATACCATATGCATTTATATTCGTTTTTAGGTAATATATTTAACATGTTAATAGAATATTTCAATATTCACAAAATTGTTAAATATTTTCAATGGATCTCATATTTTTTTTTATTTAGCCATATAAGGCCAAAAATGGTTCAGGAGACCCAAAGACTTGGAAGAAAAATAGTTGTACTCTTACCTTTGAATTTCAAGATGTCAAATTAAGGTGATTTATAATTTTTAAATAACATGTGAGCGATGATTTGATTTTTATGTCTCTTTAATGTTTAACTATGGCTTAGATGTAAAATAATTGTAAGTCTGATTCAGAGTCAATAAATGTTTCTCCAGTAAACAGTTTTTTATTGACCTAACGCTTTATTACAGCTGTTGATCCAGTCCAGTGCTAAAAAGGAAGTTCGTAAGTAGAAATAGCAACTTAGAGAAACATTACATTAGACTAATATGGAGTATTAGTAAACTATATCAGTTTTTGGATTTAAGGGCATTTTATCGTTGTGATTTTGGATTATATAGTTCACAGATTCTTTTTGTGTAATGAACATATTATCACTTTATTTATTTTTTTGTAAGCTTCACATACCCGAAACAATTTCTAATACTTTTCATCGTTTTCGTTTTTGTATGTAGCTAGATCTTTGTAAGAAAGAACGGTTTATAAACTTATATTAAGGTAAGCTCCCAAACCTGAACTATTTACTATCTTTAATGCCGCACGGCATAAATAAAGTAAGAAAGCAACATACTGCAATCTAGTCGGATGAGAGATTTCTATACTCATGTAGATTTATATATTTTGTAACTGAACTAATCAGATGTCCTTCCTAATGTGACTAGTTATTAGTTACATAGGCATAGGAAATGGCATAAAATAAAAAACTTGTTATGACAGCTAAAATACGAAAACCTTTGTCTGCGTCATAATGGCGAAAATCAAATAAGAACAAAATAATACGGTTAACAGCCAGTCTATGGATAGAGGTTGGTGGCATAGATATGTAGACGGAGAAAAAATGTAATCGAGAAGAACGTTTGTACATTCTGCCAATGATGAAAAACTGACCCAAGCTCATGAAACACCGTTTAAACTACTTTATTGAGAAAATACTTTATTCTTAAGCTGTAATGAAACAAATCAAACCGTGGGTTTCCACTTCTGAAAAACAAAATAAAAACATGTTGCTGCTTTGTTTTTCTTTAAGAGAGTGAAAGGGATGTCAATATGTTTTAATTGTGTGTTTCGCAAGTAGAAACCCAAAGTAGACAGAAACTGTTGACAACGAAACGATCTTTTTGTTAACTTTGAGCTTTGACATTAATGGAATGGACTAGACAAGAAGCCGCTTTTGTAATCAATCAATTTTGCCATAATTCGCGGAGGGTTAGGTAAAGACGACAATTATCACATATGTTCATATCATGTTAATACTTAAAATTGAATTGTCTTTATTTACGCTTAATTTTCCTCAACCTTTATCTGTTCCCTGCTAGACATCAGCCTTCCTCAATGCCTTCTACATTAAGCGGTTCTTCTTTATGAAAGCTTACGAAATTAAGTAAATAATATAACCCACAACAAAAAACATGCATGTAAGCAACTTTAGAACTCCTTGTTTGTATTTGACACATGATGTGCGCACTGATAGATCCTGTCTCTTAAAAGTCAAAGGTTCAATTTGGTAGATTGTGTTTTGTATTGTTGCTCTCCTTTTCATCTCCCTTGAATATTGATTGCTTGATTTATTACACCATGTTTGTGCATGGCGTCGCGTTACTTCTAAATCTTTATTAAGGTACTTTTGTTATTTATTAAAGTAATTTAATGTATAAGTAAATAAATTTGAGGTGTTACAGGTTGTTTTCAATAATATTTTTATATAGAACCGATAGAATTACAGTAATTGAAATGTAGCATATTATTTTTTGGGTGTTACACAGTGTTACAGCTTAATTACCACTAGTGATCTTTACAATATTTATTGCAGATTTGCGGAATAATTCATAGAAGTAACTGGTTGGAAGGAAAAGAAAACAAATATGTCTTATTATGCAAATTCTGCGCCTCTGGCAAGACTCTCTTTTGTTACTCCTCGGCTACCACCAAGGCAACACACTGTGTATAAATTGTTGTTGTATCTTTTAATATCAATAAAAATACTTAACAATCACTTGGCTCATCGGTGGAGATAAACATATGGATATGGCTAACGCAATTATATTTGTACAATCCATTTCATACCCCAACACTTGGTAGCAAGCAGTAGTTAAAGTAAGCATACTCTGATATTTTGTTTCATGATCCCGCTGTAACTAGAAAATGTGTTAAGTTATTGTGTCTCTCAGTTGTTAATTATTTTAAAAGCTTTTGTGATTTATTGCAAATGAGTTACATTCTATTAAGCAAAGTGTATACGGAACAATGTGGAAAAGTTAAACAATGGCTTAGAAAATAATTCAATCTGAATGTCAGTGTAATAGGTAATGGTACCACAAGCATACAAATATCTGAAACCAAAATGAAATATAAATTTCTGAAGCGTTTTAAATGTATACATATTTATTCAGCTAAATGTAAAAGCCAAAGAAATTTATGTGCGTTAATAGAACATCACAAACGATGCCATAAGAACCAACTTATCATTATGTATTTCAAACAGGAGTTTTTATATTCAAATAAATCTGATTATGATGAAATGATAATAAAATGAATTATTGTCTGCTCTATTATTTATTTTATTTGAAACTCTTTGGGACTAGTGTAGAAATTTTAACCATTTACTCTCTTAAAAAAGACCAAATTTAAATGTGTAATGTGTAACATAAAAATGTAATATAAACCCGGTGGACATGTGACATTAAATAAGGACAGCTCATTAACAACATAATTGCCAAAGTGTATTTGCTTTGTCATATTTACTTGTAAGCATTTTCTATATCTAAGTAGGTTTTACATTATTTCGGGCAGGATTATCCTAAAAAGCATGCCATTTTTCACCGGCCCAGATAGCTTTGTTGCATTGAATATTTTTCACAGTTTATTTGCATGTTGAATAATGTTATTTTAAGTGACTGGCTGACTCATACATACATCATACACATACAGATTTGAATGTAATGAATGATTGGTTGTAAATTATATTTGTGTAATTGAAAGAAATAAACTGATATAGTCACTGTACCAATGGATTTTTATTTTTGACATATTTGCATTCTAACATATTGCGATTTAAGTCTCAGTCAATGTAGATTAATAATAATAATAATAAATAAAGGTTCTTTATTGGATATTTAAATAATTGCAGTATCAATAACACCTTAGCTCCATAACCTGTATTTAAGGAGCTAATGACATACCTTTCTGGTAAATTTTACAAAATGGATGCCCTACAAGTGTTAGAATTAAAATGTTAGAAAAATTTAATTAATTAATTAATTTCGATTATAATATTGTTTATGTTTTTCTAATTTGACAGATATATTTAGTTAAATAAGTCAGATTATATACTATTTAATCTTTCTTTTTACGTTTTCAATTACCTTCAAACTTGACGTTGGCGATATCATCGAAATTAGACGATGGGGTCCACTAGTAATTAAAAGAAGTCAGATTAATCCTTGGTTTCGGATATCTAGATCCCAGTATAAATTATATTGTTAGCTCTGTTTTGTTAAAGATAATAAGAGGAAATAATAATAGAGGAAAGACTTGGTTTTTGTTTTAGAAGATTCAACTCTCAGAAACCAATGATTTTATTACAGGTTACAATGTGATTTGTCCGTTTTATGAAGATTAGTTACTCACATCTATGAAAAACGATTATTTGATATGATAATATCGTACTAAAATTTGTTGTAGACCTACAAATACTATCAAAAATTAGTCTTTAAAAAAATAATTAAATTAATTTAGATATTTTTTTTGTTTATGTATTTACTAATATTATTTAACTATCACAAATAATTAAAAAAGAAAACTGTATGTATGGATTACAAAATAAATTGTTTCGAATATCAAAACTTGTTTCTATTCTTATATCTGTAACGTATTTTATCAACTAATCTTGTTTTAATCAACAGAGAGGGTTACGTAAAATATGAAACGTTAACGAGCACAAAGTTAACGCCAATTAATTATCACAGACCGTTAGATTCGACTGGTTTGCCTTACGGACCAACTTCTCAGTCTCAATACCTC